CTAGAAAAGGAGTTCACTGAGGACGAGGTTGAGGCGTGTGTGAACAAGCTGAAGGGCCACAGAGCGAGGGGTCTGTCCCCGGAGATCTCTACTTCCAAATCCCAGTGACCAGCCGGGTGGCTACGAGCCGAGAGTATATCTTTTGTTAGAAAGGCGTACGCCATTAGACTGCTCAGTCAGCGCTGACTTGTCTAATGGTGTAGCTTTATCTTACAACTACAGGGGGATCACACTGTTGAACACAGTAGGAAAAGTGTTCTGTAAGCTGTTGAACGATAGGATAGTGGGAGTATTGGAGAAGGAACATAGCATTAGTGAGGGCCAGGCAGGTTTCCGCAAGAAGAGGGGGTGCGTAGACCACGTGTTCACGGTAGGGAGAATCATCCAAGGTAGAAAGAGGGCGGGAAAGCCGACGTACTGCTTCTTCCTGGACGTGAAAAAGGCATACGACACCGTGTGGAGAAATGGGTTGTGGAAACAACTGTCCAAATACGGGATCAAGGGGAAAATGTGGAGAGTGCTGAAGAAGATGACAGAGTGTACGAAAAGCGCGGTCATGCTAGACGGAGAACTGTCTAAATTCTTCGACATTGAGCAGGGGGTCCCACAAGGTTGCACGCTGTCCCCAACATTGTTCCAGGTGTTCATCAACGATCTGTTGGAAGTCGTAGACGCAGTCCGGAAGGGAATAAAAGTAGGGGACACGGAAACGTCGGTTTCAGGAATGCTGTTTGCGGATGATATTGTCGGTATGTCAGGCACCCCTGAGGGACTGCAATTGCAAATTGACTCGGCGAAGAAGTTTACTGATAAGTGGAGATTGTCTGCTAACGTTCAGAAGGGTGCCGTCAAATTACATGGTATGCAACGAGAACAAGGAGGAACCAGTAGAACATAGATGGAAGTGGGGGGTCGAGGAGATTGCAGAAGTGGACCAGTACACACACCTCGGAGTAGAGATCGCAAAAGATAGCTAGACTATACCTTCTGCCGACACACGGGCGAGAGAGGTGACCATACCCACTGCATTTCGCACACACCCACATGTCAGTGATGAAACCCCAACCACACGACTCTATCGGCGGCCACGTCAGGAGGCAATGATGAGATAATGTTCTCCCGTGCCCTGACATGCCACTTCACAACAAGGTAAATATGTTCTCCCGCGCCGCGCATGCCCCAGTACATCACACAAAGAATTAGTTGACGACGAAAATACAATCTACACACCCCGAGTCGCGCTTGCTCCGCAACCACACAAAGGTGCCAGAATAGAACACCCGACAAACCGAGTTCCCCTAAATCTTCCGTCTACAACTTCCCAACATAACATGCAGATAGATACACAAGATGGCTACCAAATTGCCTTGTTGAGCCTGTTACCCACAGGGGAGATACCGTTGTATGCTGTCTGGGAAACCGTAGACATACAGGTAGCCTTTCGCTCACGCTATGGATTCATTGCAAATATATCTTGGACATATTTCTGTAGAGATAGGGATGTATAGTCTACATGTTGTGTTTATTAGGAAGAAAAAAAAAGACTGCTCGAGGAATGCACACATGTTCAAGGTAGCGGAGAAGGGCAAGGCACGAGCAGGGAAGCTGCACCCAATACTCGCAAACCGGCACTTCGATACACGCATCAAATTGATGGTTTTGAAGAGCGTAATCGTACCGCCGCTAGAGTACGCCGGAGAAGTATGGGAAGGAAATAGGAAGGTAGTGAAAGAACTCGTGGCGGCGCAGATGAAAGCAGCGAAAATCATCCTAGGATGCTCCAAGCGCACAAGTGATGCAGCCGTCAGGGCGGAATTGGGGATCCAATCCCTACGGTCGGGAAGAGACTTGAGGAAGCTGACATGGCAGTATCGCATGTGCGGGATGGGAGAGGAGAGGTTGCCGAGGATTGTATGGGAGGCGAAGTGGGCAAACAAAAAGAGGGGTAGACAACCCACGGAATGGGTCAAGGTTGTAGAGGACGTATGGAAGGGGCCCGACATCGACGAAGATGAAACGCTGGAAACGGAGGGTCTACAGAGGATCAAGGAGAAGATATCTGTTGCTTGTGCCGAGAGAGAAGAACAGAATCTGAGGAAAGAATCCAAGGGTAAGGAGGGTCTAGAAGTGTACGGAATGTTGAAGGAAGGAATAGGGTTCAAGGACTACCTACATGGACCAATGGATGCAGGAACAAAGCTTAAGGTCAAATTCAGGACCGGGGACATAGGCCTTCGAGAACGTCGACGAAGACATAGGTCGGTAGACGAGGAAGACGACGAGTTCAAATGTGATTGCGGCTTCGAATGCGAAGACCGTGTTCATGTGGTCGCGGAATGTCCACGATACAAGGAGAGGGAAGTGTACATGACTGAGCTGGAAAAAATACAAGGGAGGTACAGGGAGATGTTTGAGGCATGGAATAGAGAGGAAAGGACG